ACAAACCCTGAAATCTTCGCCCAGGGACTGGCCGCTTTGAAGACCCCTTCACAGAACTCGTCCGCGTCGACTGCGCCCCCTGGCGTGCTATGCGAGACAACTACAGGGTTGGGCGGGTACAGCGTTCAGGATTCATGTAAAGTTTAGGCTAAGGCTGGCTACGTTCTTAACTGGGCATTGCAAGGCTTCCTCGAAGAGTCTGAGCCCCCAAGCTGCCGCACGCCTCCGTCGTAGTCCAACATCATAAAGAGCTGCTCGATGTCCTCGCTGCCAGCGAGCTCCTGCTCGCCACTCTGCTGAAACGGGGTTCTATACCTGAAAGCTCCTGTGACTTCGTAAGTAAGCTTAGAAAGCTGGGTTGTGGCAAGTGAAGCGACGTAAATTTCCTACGTCAATAGCGCCTCCGAGAACCAGTGCATATCCTACCACCTTTGGAACCGGACCAGCCCCGCAACATGGCCTCAACACTCTGGTATCCTGAGCTTACAGAGCTCTGGGGCGTGGGGAGGCTGGGGGTTTCAGGATAGGACTTCAGAGGTTTAAGGTTCAGGGTTGCCTGTGTTTAAAGGATGGGGTTCAGGGTTTCCAAATGTAGACATCCTGGAACTGAATTTCGCCTTAGCCGGAAGTGAATGCCCGTATAGAACCCTTGCACAGCCCTATAGATTCCTACAGATCCGGTTCTCTAATTGGGCCTTGTTAACCCGACGCCCCAAGCCCAGACCCTAAAACCCACGCCATATAAACCGCAAAGCCAACCTTAAATCAGCTCTTACATCCTAAATGCTAAACCCGTAGCCCTGCAACCCACAAGCCCAAAGACCTAGAACCCTTAGACCTTAAACCCTTAATCCTGGGGTTTCTTTGACCCAAAACCACCTGCAGCTCGGCACGCAGATGCTCGGGAGCTGATCGGATTTCTGACAGCGAGAGATCGCCAGAGCCATCCTCTCAAGATTTGAGTTTCGGGTTTCGGTGCCCTTTAGGGCTGCAGGGTTACGGATGTGAGAGCTTCGGGGAGAGGACTGCGTGGTTCAGGAGCAAAGTGCTCCTGACCTCCTGACATCTGATCTGACCTCTTTGAAAGGCCCTTCAATCTATCTCCCTACAGTGAGGGTAGGGGGGGGGGGGGGGGGAGGGGGAAGTTTCAATAGTTTGCATCTACGATTGGATCTCACGGGAACATCCTCTTCAAGAAGCAGGCCGGTCAAAAGCTCAAACCTGAAAGTATAGACAGAATATATAAGCCCCATGGAAGATGCACTCCAAACCATCCCGGTAAATCCTAAGGCTGGAGGGGCCCTGTGGCTCCAAACCCTCCGCAGGTGCGCAAACCTGACAAGTCCCACACCCCATAATTCAGGATCGTAGAGCCGAATCCGACGTTTCTTCGGGGCTTTCTGGATAATCTCGTCCTCATCCAACTCATGGAACATCACCTTCAGCTCCTGACGGGAGGCCCACGAAGAGTTGGGGAAAGATGCGCCCAAACCTCGGGTTGTCAGAGCTCGATGGCCTTAGTCTTGCAGGATGGGACTTGCGGCCGTCCAAACCTGTCGCCCGAAACCCCGAAATGGTCAACCCTGCGTAAGTTAGACGATCCTGAAATGTAGGGATCTGGTGATCTGCGTTCCAGGCTTATTGACACAGGTATGTATGTATGTATGTAGCTATGTATATATATATATATGCATGTATGTATGCATGTGTGCATGTGCGGCGTGGGCATGTATGTGTCTACGCATGTATGCATGCATGTATGTCTGCATGCTTGCATGGACGTATGTATCGATGGGTGGATGGGTTCACTAAACACACATGCAGAATGTAATATGTATATCTATTATGTTAATGTACTTGTACATATGCAGCCATGTAACCGTAACCATGCACGCATGTTTGCATGAATGTAGGTACGAACGCATGAGAGTATGTAAGTGCAGTATGTATACATATGTTTATATGCGGATATGTGTGTATCTATGTATCCATGCATGTATGCATGTAGGTGGGAAGGTAGGAATGTCGGTAGGTGAGTAGGTCAGTAGGCTCGTAGGTACGTGCGTGCGCAGATATACTGGCAGAATGTGTTTGCTATCTCATACGGCTATCGTCCTGAGGCGTGTGCTCTACCTTATCTTGTCTTGTCTTACCCTATGGGAGAAGTGGATAGGCTCCCTGCTTAGGGTCGAGCTTGGGCATTTGCAGGTTGAGGTGGTCTGCTTATAGCTGTGATCAGGGCCGGGATGGTTCACTGCTTGGATACAAATCATCCGGACTTGCACGACCAAGAAAATCTTCCCTCGTGCCCAACTAGGTGGTGCTACTTTTCGAAGCTAGCAGCAGAAGCTCGGCTGTAGCAGCAGCAGGCGGAAGTCGCAATTATACTAATCGTCGTCGACGTCGTGGTCGGAACAGTCGCGTCTGCAATGGCGGTAGCAGTAGCAACAGCTGTTGTCACCGCGGTAATCGTGCTTATGGTGATAGTTGTAGCCCTTCACTATCACAGTCGTCATTGCCAACACATCAGCAAAAACGGTACCCACCGATCAATCCACAACGAAAGAACCCGCTCCTCCATCTGCTTCTTTTTCTTGGCCGCTAGCCAGGCCTGTATCACTCTTGCGGCTGCTTCGGCTGCTGCTACTGAGGAGCTGCTCGCCGAGACGATGGCAACAGGGACTCGAGACTTGCAGCGCCGCGGATCATGGGATTCGGAAGCTTCGGACGAGGTCTAAAAAGCTCCCCCGACACACGATTTCAAAATCGCCTGCAATCCAGGTTGTAAAGGGTATCTACTTTAAACTATACAGCTCTTCTGCTGCAACTACGTCCCATTACCTGGATGTAGTAACTCATTCCTTCCAGAGTTCAGGAGCTCGTTCTTTTTTCTAAGGCCTTGGGGTTTATGCTACTGTTTTTGTTTTGAGAGGATGAAGCAAGGCTTCGGGACTTAGGCTTGGAATTGCTAAAAGGCTTCTCGATGGTTCAAGATTTCAGGACCCTCCTTGTACCCTCATTTACTGGTCGTATGGCCCCAAATAGTCGCCAAAAGCCCACGCTGGACTTTAGACACCATGGCATGCCCCCGTCCAGCCCTTTCGATGGACTACTTCAAGGCTCTACCTAGTATCTGCTACGACCCCAATAATCATCACTGAAACATATCTAGCTAACCTAACTGTTTAACTAAGTCGGAAAGTTGCGTAGGTATACCTGAGCAGAACCCCAAGACCCCCTCAACCCGACACTTCAACCCCAAATCACGACAAGATCGCATATCTAAGGCATCAAACATCCTGCGCAGGCCCTTCCATGCCTTCTTTACCTCTTTGTCTTCAGAGGCCTGGATGGGAAGTGTTAGGATATAGCGTGGGTTCTCAAACTCAGGGCCCCTTGGGAGTTTTAGGACGGGAGTCCATAGCCGAAGAGGATTTGGGTATAGGAGTTAGGGTCGAACTTTGCTTATTTTGGTCTGGACACACCTAACTTCGAGAGCTATCCAGTAATTTCTGCAATACCGACTGCCAGGGACCGCTGCTGGGGTGCCAGGCTTGGGGGCTTGAGAGTCGTGAGTTCGGCGTCTTGGGTTCGGGGTTGCAGATATAACATGTAGACGAGGGCTTTGGCTTTGGGGTATGTTGTAGTCTAACTATGCGACAGGAGAGAACCCGGAAACCCTCTTCAGCACTCGCGCTCGAGCAGCATCGCGTCAGGCGAGGGAACCCCGAGGAATTAGAGTAGCAGTGGTAAGCATTCAAAGCCTGAGCCTGGGGGAAACAAGTCCGGAGGCTCTTGAATCGGGGCTTGGACCCTACAAACGCACCGTCTACCCCAGAGCATCGAGCCGACACTGGAAACTCCAGAGGCCCAAGCTCCAAGAACACTTGGAAACAACTCTTGAAAACAGTCCCGATTCCCTGCAAGACTCGAGCCCCACCCCCGCAACCCCGCACCTGATCCAAAGAGGAGTTGACCATGACCTGAAGAGCAGCCAGGCTTTGCTTTGAGTTGCATGGGGGTCCATGCTCGGTGTTTAGCTTATCACCGGCCACTTGGGCTTTGCAAGACGCAGAGCGGCTGTCTGGTGTAGGGCATGCAGTCAAGAAGGATCCGGAAGTAAGTTCTTGGGTCGACCACTGCAACAAGCGATGCGCTGTTCTGCTGGAGATAAGTGAAAGCAGTAGTGGTTGGTAATGGTCATATAAATACAGAGTAGTAATCGTCATAGTAGTAGCAATATTAAGCATGCCGCAGCACCTCAACCTCTAAAGCTCTGAGGACGTGGCGGCCGTGACCAGGTTCATCAGCGCGATGGACAGCACTAGCAAAACCGTCCTTAGCTGACATACTCCCTTTGCCCGGGATTCTCCCGAATGGGGTTTACGCTCTCAGAACTCGGACTTGGTCTCTGGAGGCAAAAGTGTGGCTGCTTGGGGCCGGAAGACACCTCAGAGGAAGAGCATTTGAAGGTCCTAATGTACTACGCCTGCCACATAAACTTAAAACCCTAACCTTCGTCCAAAACCTAACCCCCAAAACCAAGAGCATACGAAACGGGCTCCGAACCTTAAACCTGGCAGGGTTGATGCCCAGTCGGAAGCTGCAGAAGCTTTTTCGCCCTCGCAAACGCAACTGCAAACGCAACTCGCTGTTGCACTTCGCTGTTGTTGAGCAACTCACTCAATCAGTAACCGGGCCCAGGTACCCCACACTCTAAGCCTCCAAGCTTGCCCAGCAGATTCACTCCGATCTTCAAGGAAGGAGCCGACTCAAACCCAGACGTAAGTCCCACAGAGCTTGGATCCCACGAAGCTTCAAGGTGTTGAATGGACACACACACAAAGGTAGATACATATAGATATATATATATATATATATGTGTGTGTGTGTGTATGTATGTATATATGACCATATATATATATATGTATAACATGAGGGCTTCAGGTTTAGAGTGTTGGGCTTGGGAGGTTCGGCATTCGAGTCTTAAATCGCTCCACCTAGACCACCACGAGCCCCGGCTGCCGCTCAAATCTGGCCACCATCATGCCGTAGTAGGTTGGATGCGCATAGGCCAACACCTGCAGAACGGCACAAGATAGGGGCCTTGATGATTAGAATAGGGTTTTGGGGCCCATGTATATATACTAAACATATACTAACGAACCCCCCAAATAGTATAGGTAATTATTAAGGCCCCTATATTAGTTTTTACTACACCGTACTGGCCATGCTCTATGCCGTCAGGGCCTGCGACCCGAAGAAGCTTGAAACCGAAGAGGCTCAACAAATCCACTTTCGGATTCCAGGATCCCAGCCATAAAAGACATCATCCCCAGGATGGCATCTCAATTCAGGGTCTAGGAACAAGCCCTGATTCTCTTGAGACCAGCCTGGCCCCTCCATGTTGGAAGGCCGGTGAGGTTGGAGATGTGGGCCATGGCCTGGGGCAATGCCGGGAGCAGGTTTTGCGACTTCTAAACACCGGAAAGCTAAAACCCCAAACCCTAATCCCCTGGATCACATAACGGGTCCCCTGCACTTCGAAACGAAAGGGCTAGGAACTACGGTTATCCTAGGACCATGCACCTAAGAATAGGCTTGTGGTAGATCAAGGCAAAGCATGACCCTGGCATAAATCGAACGCGAAACCCTTAACCCTGAAACACTAAAGCCCTGCGGCCGTGTTGATGCAAAACCTCCCAAACCCCGACAAGTCTGTAACACCAAAGCCTTAAACTGCCTAAAACCCCTGAAACCCTGCGAACATGAAACCCGATCTAAACCAATACTTCCCCCCCAATCGGAAAAAAACTGTCCACATGGCTTTGCCCTCCCTGAATATCTGGCTGAGGAGCCCCATGTGCGGCCACCAACCCAGTGAAGCCGCAGGAGGCCGCGCCGGCACGCTGCCAGCCGCGCCCCTGCGAAGCGATTCTTGCGGATGTTAGGCTTTTGAGGGGCCTTATCTTCGGCTTTGAGGGGCCTTATCTTAGGCTTTGAGGGGCCTTATCTTTTCCCTCTCGGCAAGCAAGCAAGATTATGGGTTTTGCGGACCTGGGGCAAAAGGTCATTTCATGGGTAGTGGATTTGTCGGGCATCAGGGTTCATCTTTAAGGAGCTTGGTCAGGAGCTTTAGGGGTATGAGGATATATTCAGTGCTTTAGGGCACAAGGGTAATACCGATAAAGCTTTTTTTGGATTTGCACCCTCAACCCTGCCGTCAATATATAAGGGCCATGAGATGATCTCGAATATATAAGTTGTAAGGAGAAGTATGCTATGTCATGGTAGGTGGTAAGTTGCCGGCCCACAACAACTACCCGAACTACCCTCAATTACATCCTAAAGACCGACTGTCAAGGACCATAACTAAGGCCCAAAAAGAAAAGGCACTTGAATGCATTGATAGAGGGTAAGCTTCAAGCCTCAATCCCCAACCCCTGATCCCAAACCCTTCGTTAAGAAGGCCGAGAACATACACGTTTTGCGCAATGTCCATGCTTGGGATAGGTTTTAAAGCTTGTTGTTTCGATGCGTTTTCAGGCCCTAATTCTTGTTCGGGACATCAGGGCGCCTCATGCAACAAAGCCTCGGCTGCAGATTCGAAAGGAAGATCCTGGGCGAGGAAACTAACAGGAATTCCATGGCTGGGACCTGGGGCTTGCCGAACTGTGGCTGTGGGCTTTGCATGGTTTATGAGATGGTTGTAAGGCGGTGCTTGAAAGCCCTTTTTCGACAGACTGGCCTGGAACAAAATCAAGCAGCTGAGCTGAATCCAGAGCATGATCTCTATATATGTATATATATATATAGATATGTGCCCCAGAAATTTAACATTCTCAGGTTCACGAGGTAAGTTTGGAGTTTGGGGGTTTGGGGGGGGGGGGGGGGGGGCGTTGGGTACAGCATGGTTCAATGATAGGCATGGTTCAATGATGGGGGCTTGTCTTATGGCTTAGGGTGCAGGACTTCGTGTGTCCTGCAGCAGGGACTGTACTTATATACTGCGCTTGAAATACGGATACGAACCCGAGTCAGAACAACATGCAAATGCTCGGCCCGGCAATAACTACCGCATAGCACGAAACCATGTGACCTTGGCCCAGCGAACGACGGCGTCGTCGAAGGGCTGCGCGCAGGGGCAGTAGCCTGACAAAGCTTACGGGTTGAGGTGTCAAGCCTTACCCACACCGCAAGCTGCACTAGTCAATAAGCAGCACTAGCCCTAAACCCTAAACCTCAGCCTCATATACAGGCCCTAAGTCTAAGTGCTCAACCGCCTCGCCGAACAAGAAGCTTGGATCTGACTCCCTGCGCAACGAAATCCCAAGCCCAACACCGAAAAGCATCAAAGATAAAGCTGAAGGATACGGCCCTTGTGTAATGAAGGGGGGCCAAGCCAGAAAAGCGACACACATAAATCAACTTGGCAGCGGCGCGGAGGCTGTTTCGTCTCAGGATTGCTATGTTATACAGGATCCTCTACTATACAGGGTCCATACGACGGTCCCTGAAATGTCAAAACCTTCTGACAATTAAGCAAGAGGCCGTAAGGGCCAGAAGCAAGGTGCGTGTGCGCCAGGTCCTGCACTTCGGTATCGTCATGACTAGGGCTACCCTAAGAGGCACCCTGGACGGAAGCCAGAATCCCTACCCCTGTAGCAACAATCCTGACGAAACCCAAACCCTTAGTCCTAAACCTTTCTTCTCGGCGCGGACCCCTTTTGGCCCAACGCTGCCCGACTAGGTGGGCTCTGTGTAAACTAAGGGCTGGGGGGGGGGGGGGGGGGAAGGCACTCATGCAAGGGTTCTATAAACTTGCCTACTTGTTTGCAACTGCATCTGTCCGCAATTCATGCAGTACCTTAAGAGATTGAACATGACTTACAACTCTACGCTGGTACGAAGAAGTCGATAAACTCTGAGGCCTTAGATAAGTAGTCTACGCAACCCACTCTCGAGCGCGACGAACCATGAAGCCCCAAGCATGCTGAAAGCTTAAAGTACAAGGCACAAAGGGCTCTCTCTCTCTCTCTCTATACATATCTTTATGTAATGGTTCTAAGTCTAACAATGCTAGTAGTGCTAGAGACCCTGATTAAGGGTACTCTATCTGTTCCTGACGCTGAGGCTCAGGGGGCAGGGCTCCATGGAAATTACGACTTAAGGGAGAGGACCAAGGAGCTTTCGGCGAATGCATGCGTTGAACGTAAGTGAACCTGGGAATTTGCAGAGGACAGGAACCAACAATAGTAAGATCCTTAGTATCCTACCTCGAAAGGGCCCCTGTCCTTCCTGAAATCCCTACTGGTGTCTGCTACCATTGCGGTGCGGTCCGCGGAGACAATCCACACCACGCGCTGGGGCAAGGCCTTCCCAGCTTTTGAGACACCAAAAGGAGTAGAGTTTTGCCGGTAGGGTTGAAGTCGGGGTTTGGGTTGAAGTGCTTCCACCTGGCCTTTGGGTACACATGTCGTTGCAGCATCCCAGAGCCGCTTGTTGTATAGTGTTGCACAAACACACAGCCTTCATAAACTGCGAACCCACTGGCACACTGCAAACGCTTAGCACACCTCTAAACTCATGACCTACGACCTGCGATCCCAATTCCTGTACACGACATGAGTTAGAAGAGTTGAAAAGCAAGCGAGTTCACCCTAGTTACCTTCAGCCCTAAGTCAACCCCTCTAACTCAAAACCCCACAAGCTCGAACCCTTAGAGCTAAAACTCTCGAGCCGACAGACATAAAGTGTTAAAAAGTGTTAAAGTTCTTGGCCCGAAATAAAACTCCCAATGGCCGTGTATCGTTCTACGACAATATGCCCGACGAACCTGAAGCTGCCTTAAACCGTAGACCCAAAGCTCTCAAACGTCGAAGCCCCAAAGTTCAAACATTGAAGCACAAAAACCGTAAACGCGGCATACGCCCTAAAAGCCTGAACACCCCGAAACCCTCGAGCTTTTCGAGAAAACCACTAGAACACCGATAAAACCCGAAACTCTGGTGATGTCCTCCAAGAAGTCTGCAGTGGCCGAACCGAGCCGTAGAAGCTCCTCATGAGATTTGCGGCTCAAGAGGTTCGAGGGTTTTTGGATTAACATTAATAGGGATCCGCTTACACTTTGGGTTTTAGGCTCCACGGCTTCAGGCTCAGGGTTTGGGAATTGTTATTACCGAGACTTTGGGTTTACATGGTGCAGCTTAGGGATGTCGGGCTTACGGGGCCTGGGGCATATTACGAGGTTGTTTCCGTTATTACCACGAGCTTTGGGTTTGGAGCCTTGTCATGACAAAGATTGGAGGGTTTAGACATGCATTGGGGTTATAGGGCCTTAAGGGCTCATGAATCATGAGGTTAGGGTTGGGAGCTTACTTACTTTGATGTGGAGACCACGAAAACTTACGCCTCTCTGTGCTCGCCCCCCGTTCAACCGAACGCCGACCCCAAACCCATCTAAACCTACATGTTCAGGGTTGCTTGTCATGGAACCCCATATAACACATATATATATATATATATAACCAGTCAACACCATAATCTCCTGTCAAAAAGTTGAAAATAGCCATAAAAGAAATCCTGTGCATCTGTTGAATGCGTTCGTCGTTCAGGTTGAAGCAAGCCTATGACCTCGACAGCATCCAGGGCGCAGGAACCATCGAGTCCGAGTGGTTGAAGCGCCTCGCAGAAGCGCAAAACACAACCGCTCGACCCTTTGGTTGCATCAGGCTTGCGTACGTGGTCTCGCTCGGAAATGCTGCGCCGTTCGTGTTCGCTGCCAGCGCAGCTATGCCCTAAATCCTAAGCAGCTTAAAGTGAGGAGGTGTTGGATTTGGGTCTCTGCACCGACCCGAACCTAAACCGACGCCCTGAGATCCATTACAAACCTCTCGTCAAGACAGTCCTGGAACCACTAGCTCTGAAGATTACCCTTGAAACCTCACACCCGAAACACTTGCAAAGCTTGGGCTCCTCATACACCCTCAACCATACCAAAGGTCTAGGTACACTGAGTAGGGATATTCGATGATATTCCATATATGGAAGGCCGGAAGGGTATTGGAGGCCCTCAGATGAACTTATAAACCCCTGTGGCCCCATGGAGCCCTACCAGACACATGAAATTGTAAAAAACACGCCTCCGCAAGCCCGTTCAATCCAATCCCCGAAAAAGTCGCAAGCCAACCAAATACAACCCCAACCTGAAGCCACCACAATTCCGAAATCGTTACATTTCAGGCCCATAAAGTTCAGGCCAAGCGCCGCAGCGGGAAGGACATCAGCAACACTGGTGGAAGCTCGAGTCCATGATCCTGCGCCGTTCTGCGGTCCGCCAGGTGCTGAGAGTTTCGGGCTTCGACGCTCGCACTCGGGCGGTCCAGGCGAGGCATGTGTTCGTAGGAGACTAAAACGTTCCTACCGAGAAAGACAATTTCAACTTCAGCCTAAGCGACACCCGCCTGCTAAAAGGCCATCCAACCTCTGCCCCCACCCGCAAGGTCCTGTGTGACTCCATGCTCAATACCTATAGTCTATAGTTCAGGACTTCAGCAGTAAAGTTTCGGGATTGGGGTGCGTGGGTTTGGGGGTTCGGGATCGAAGGGCTTACGTAGTTTGTTTTAGAGTGTGTGACTTGATCGACAGGTCTGGAGGTTTCGTGGCTTTGGAGTTTCGGATGCCTTGCCTTGTTTTGTCGGGGGCGAGTTGGCCCTCTCCAGCTCCGACTTCAACAACTGTAGGGTTGGCGTGTAGGGTTGAGGTCCTGCCTACTGAGTTTCGAAAGGGTTCCTACAAGCCTTCCTCCGGCCGTCCTCGCGAGCCTTCTGCACAAAGCTCAATGGCAGGATCTCGCCTTAATAGGTGGCTGAAACTCCATTCAAGAAACAGCCTCGCTGACTCAAGGCCCTACAACCCTAAACCGAAACCCTGAACGCCCAAGTTCTGGTATTACTGAAGCTTCCACGGCTTGGACTTGAAAAGCTTAGTCGACGGGGCTACAAAACGATACATTATGGCCCGAGACCGTAACCACTGGGTCAGTTCGTTGACCTGCAAACTCTTTCCGAGCCTGGTGCCAGCTGTTCCAGTATGATAGTGGAGGAACACCAGCCTTTTCCAGTACTTGCACTGTATACCAAATCTCAAAACTAGCTCGCATCCTCAGGGTCAAGTATGGACTACCGTATCGGGATCCCATGTTGGTCTCAAGGAGGGTATTGCTGATGGACAAGAGTCAACATTTTACGAACACAGGATAATCCTCACAATTACCTCCGACATTTGGCGGCACGTAAGGTAGAGCAGGATTCAGCCCATCGGCAGCAGACAGATTGACTCAGCCCAGGTGCCCCAGGAAATCGGTAGTGGCTGGGCATCGGAAAAGCCTGACATCCACATTTTCACACAAACCCCTATCCGAGAATCGCCCCAGCCCTTCTCTTCCTTTCTCCGCGGTGGTCCAGTAAACTCGGCTGAACCCTATACAGTCTTGAAATACCGACAGTCTCGCGGTATTATGCAAACCATTTGCCGTTTTGCACCTGGCACAGCCCTAATGCAGAGTCCCTAAAATTCTCACAGCAGGGTGTAGGTGAGGTCTTTTGACATACAATGTAATCGAAAGTGCTCCGGGTCAAAATGCAAGCAGCCTCGCAGCCCTTCTGCTGGTAGCTTCTCCTTCTGCAGATGCTTCAAGAGCTGCATCGCCTTGGTGAGGTCAAGGCTAAGAGATCAGCTGTGTTGCTATCCGGGGCTCTACGCCTTCGGCGTTCTGGGTTTTGGAACTCATGCCAAGTAACGAGATTCTGCGGGCTGGTGAAATTCATCGGAACAGTCCTCCGAGAAGCTGCATGCACGCCGCAATACCGGACCTTCGAAAACTTACTTGCTGGAAGGATCTGCGCTCCAACAACAGGGTTGTAGTACAACTTTAGTACTGGCACTGCCTCGTTTGGGGTCCTGGCTGGATGTGCTGATAGTTTGACCCAGCTCATTTAGATATATAAAAATATATACATGCTAGGCTGCCAGGCACACAGTCTGGTTTTCACTTCTTCCCTCCACATCGCCTTACAGAGACCGTAAGAGCTACAGTAAGCTGCCGAAACGCTGCGGTTCATTCGATTTCAGATAGGATTGCATCGTCTCATGCATGTACATGATCTCGTTCTAACCGGTGCCCCTATCTCGTTCCCCTATTAGAGCGAGTTCGGACACATGAAATACCGCGCGGAGGTATCTCGTTTCAAAAAGAGATAGTATTGACATAAATAAAATCCGTCGCTCAGATGTTCGCTGCACCACGTCGCACCGAATCGAGCATCGAGTTCACCGTAATCTAAGGCACTTTCAACCTGAGCAGTAACGATCCACCCCAGGATTGCAGCTGCTACAAGAAGAACCCTAATTCCAAACCCAAAGCCAGTCTCTTCTGCTTCTCCTGTTTCCCGCAGCATGCGGCATATCATCGAGCGGAGAAGCGCCAGCGTTGTGGCTATTGAGGTACACCTTGCCAGTCAGCGGTTTGTCTGGTTTCTGCAGCTTCCCTGTGTAAAGAGGCTTTGACATCGTGTATGAGAACTCCTCAAGTCCAGCTTGCACACCTAGAGATCTAGTTTGATCTGAGAATCTGCTCGTCTGTTGAATCATGAAAGTAATTAGCGCGGCTACCATAAAATGAAGCAGAGATGCGAGATATTGCTCCGACAGTTCCATCCCATGAGGCGTTGTCACAAACAGCAGCTCCTGCGCAGGTGTCGAGCTCAAGGGCCTAGAGATCTGCAGCTTGGCATGCAATGCTTTCTGTTTAGATTTTGGACTGTAGGATCTACGCCTAGGCTTCGATGCTTTGCTGTAGCTTCTGTAAGTTTGGACAGGCCCGCAGAACAGCCGGTGCTACAGAGCCGACGATGCGTGATGGCCTGTCTCGGTGTCAAAGCCATTCCGCAGGCTCGAAGATCTTGGATCTACACTAAACCCTGCGCTCGAGGCCACGGCACTACCAATGAATCAATGAATGCACTCCAAAGCCGCAAACCCTATAAACCTAAGCAGCTCCAACCGAAGATCCCGGATGCTAAACCCTATAAAGATCCTTTTGTCATGATGCATGAATGCCTCACCGGTGCCGCGCGCAGGGGCTCAACATACATTAGCCAGTGAATTAACCGAGTTGGGAACATGTTGCTGCTGTTGCTGCACTCGGAAACGGAAAGCGTGCATCTTGCATGACATTATTATGTCCCATCCACGCCGCATGCGCGACTCAAGGGACTCAGAACATTATAGGCAGCAGAGGTCATATTCATCATATTCTCGATGCAGCTGGGAAGTGCCCCCTTGGACTCCTTGGACGGAATGCCTCTTCCACCTCCTTAGAGGGCCAACAATCCATACATTCCTGCTTCTCAAATCCTGCCGTCTTGCAGTCCTCCAAACCAAAACCGGCTGCCTTGCAAGCGTGTGCGTCAAACCCAACTCTCCTCAGAGTTTGGGCATCGACATCTGGCCACGCGGCCCTGCAGTCAGTCGCACTAAAGCCGCGTCGAACACCTGCGCTGACGCGATCTTCAATGCTGAAGCCAGCTTCCTTACATATATGCGGAGAGAAGCCTGCATCGAGAAACTCGTCGAGAGAAAACCCCGTGAGCCTGCAGATCCTAGATGGATGCCCTTGTCCGAGAAGGTAACGGAGGTTCGCCGAGCGGTCTGTGACCCTGCTCATGTGACTCTCCAAATAAAAGCCATAGACAACCTCAACAAACTTGTCTGTAAGGCTTAGGCGTGTATGTGTGCGTCCTCGAATAAACTCTTCGGATACCCGAGGTAAAGCATCCAGACTCGTGCCCGCTGTCAAAGCAGCCTCAATTCTGCCGGCAATGGTTTTTTCCACCCATCTGCCACGATCTTCATACATGCCACTGTAGAGATGCTTGCCAGGCAAGATGTTCAACTGAACAAGAATCTCACTCGTCTCGGCTAAGAGCCAATCCTTGACAAGCCCACTAATTGCATTGAGCTTCAGATCTTGGCCATGCTCTGCAAGTCTAGCGGCACACTTCTTGAAGCCTTCGTAGCACTCGGGTTTCGGCCATATCAAGTCCGTCAAACGGTCGCGGAGCTGGCGTCGCTTGCACTGCAGAACTGCCTCTTGACCCGCGGGGATCAGAACACCTTTGCCTATGCTGACAAGAGCAGACAGCCAAGCGAACCTGGATCCAGTGATCAGGCCGACGAAAATGCCGATAAAGCCCTGGGGCCAGTCTTCAACCCAAGCGATCAAAAGTCGAGCGTATGAGAGAAAATCCACAGCGAAGTCCTCGAGCCACAGCGTCAGCTTCACAGCACATCTCGCATCGACGCTTGCCGTGGGAAATGGGAGCGCAATTATTCCGTAGTATGTCTTGCGAAGATCATCCGCAGCTGCTGTGCTCTGCAGAGCTAGCACGTAAGCATGCAAGATTACATACGCAGAGGCCACACATAAGCAGCTTCCATCCATCCACATATCTTTCATGAAACCAAAGATGTGTGTAATGACGAACGACAACGAGCCCAAAGGGTGGGGGTTGTCAACAGTATATGGCCATGCAAGGTACGCAAGATACACTGCGATCAAGTAGATAACTATGCGTGCCAACATGGGGCAAGCCGGAAACGTTTCACAAAGGACGATTACGACGATTACGAGCAGAGCCAGTGCGACACTCAGGAAAGGTCCCGCATCATCAAACGGTAATATGCTTCCTATTGCAAAGATAAACAGGGGCAACAGGACCGGAAGGAGACAAAAACCTTGCACTAGCAGGAGTGATGGCCATGCCGGAAGGCATTGAGGCACACCCAAATACAGCGAGGCGAGAAGATCTATTGCAACAACTGCAGCACCGAACAAGAAACCTGGGATCGTATGAGGTGCCATTAAGCACTGGCCGGCCACGATCCAATCCTTCATGGTGTCGAAGATCTCGCTGAAGAACGGCAATGTGAACATCAGAATGGTTTTGGCAGTTGCCATCCACGATGCCGGGCCGACTGGCGAGCAACACCGAAGGAAGTTTTGGCAGAAAAGGGTCCTCGGTTGCTCGGACAAAGACCAGGTACGGCAATGGGACCCCAAACCGGTGGACAAAACAGCAACAACATTCCAAAGAAAACGCTCGAAACCTGGAAGGCAAGGCTCCACAAGCACATCTGCTGCCACAGAAACCAAATCTCCCAGGCTAGTCCGCTGCGCAGGGACAGCCAACCCCGGACAAATGCCAGAAGCACCAAAACAATGCATACAATGTGATAGGCCGCGACTACCATCCGCAGGCCAGTGAAAGAACGCATCTGGGGCAATTGCCCGCACGGCGAGGCACTCGAATCGTCTGAGTCATCCGAAGCATCTACCGAAAGCGCAATTCTGCCCTCGAGTTGATGCCCATGATGGCCAGGCCAGGACAGTGCCACCAAGCGGACGAGCAAGCAAATGGTGCACAGGAGGGGTGGTCCGAGCATAAGTGCACTCACCCAATAAACCTGTCGGACATGCATTTCCTGAATGCCCACCTCAGTCATCGGTGGCAAAAGTCGAGGTGGTGGCTCTGCCCACCACCCAGGCCATTGGAGTGATTCATCCGAGAAACGGACTGTCTTCCACAGCACTTGCAGCACGAAAAACACCCAATCCGCCACATTGGGAAGATAAGGGAGCATGGCAAGATGATGTCAGTGCAGGTGCAGGTGCAGACCGTGTACGTAGATACATGCAGAGTCAGTTTAACTTCTGAATGCGGTGGCCGCTGAAGCTGTCAGAATTGTGTATGTTCCAGGAAGAACCTCCTTCTGCGAGCCAGAACATGACGATGGCTGGGTCGCTACGATTGGAATCAGAACTCCGGCAGCTGCAAAAATCACTCTGGACCCTTCGTCATCAGACACCAGAGCAATGAAATAGTTTAGACAGCCCGAAACACCCATCCCACCACCCCTTCCCCCCTCCCCCCGCCGCATTTCGAATCCGAAAGCCACAAAATCCGCACCAAAGCTCCGGCGTTGCTTCGGAGATGTCGCGCCCCAGCTTCTGCGCTGCGGTGTGGAGCTGCACGGAGCCGCCTACAAAGGCTCACAGAACAACTCAGATTTAAAGGATCAGGGGAGGGTTCTATATTAAAGGTTCTGCTTGTAAGGGTTCTATAAGATGAGTTGTTTTGGGTCATACGGGCTAAGTACAGAGTCTTGTAATGGTTTAAGGGGCTTCAGACCACCCTGGGACTATTCTGAGTTTTCGGGTAGGATAAGGCTGGGACAAGCCAGGCGAGGTTTCGGGCTTTTAGATGGTTATGTAGAGTCTTCAAGGTTGCGTATGATAAGACATAGAATTGCATAATTGTCAGGTCCTGTAGGGTCAGTGCAAACCCCTACGGCTCGTTTAGGGTTTAGGGTTTAGGGTTTAGGGTCCAGGTGTTTGGAATCGGTCTTTGGGGCTGCTGATCTCAAACGGCTTAAGCTTCCAGCGAGAAAACCTCCCCTGCAAACCCGGCTTAACTTTTCGGCTTTCCTAGACACTTAACACTCCAGCCTCATCTCAGCTCCTAGGCCCTGGCCAAGAAATCCCAACCTCAAGATCTTAGCTCCAACATCACCCAACTTTCACGAGCCACCCATCGAACCGCCTAGAGGAAACACTCAAAACCTGAACAGTTGCAACAGCAGTGAAAACACAACGACTTTGAGCACGTTGCTACTGGACACGTCACGCGAGTGGTATAGAGTGGTTGTACTCCCTAGTTTTAGCCACAACATCCATACCTGTAGACAACGTGATTTGAACAACATGCTTTTCCTGTACAGGGGAAAGCGACAAGACTCGTGCCAAGGGAACTACGTTGCAACCCCAGCGTCTACTCAGTCTACTCTCGTCCGTGTGCCCGGCCTGAGCGATTCACCAAGCCGGGATCGTAGGCAAAGTCTCCGTGCGGCAGGACAGCAACGCTCCTGTGCTACTTGAGGCTGCTGGGGCGTCAGGGTTGAAAAAAATCTACCCCTCAAAAAAGGACTGCAAGATTTCTACCGTAAGATGGGTTCGGGTTCAGGTTCGCAGGGGCTGTCGTTGCAGGTTTGGCTTGGCATGAAGGGCTTGTGTTTCTGATGTTGCAAACTTCCTAAACTTGCTATAAACATTGCTGCGAAGAGAACTGCATTCCAGAAACTTCGTTTCGCAAGGGCTTCCGCTGTTGCATGTAAACGCACTTGCACCCCAACTTTTCCAATAATGGTGATGCCAAAAACCCTAATCACACCAAAAAAGCCTACTAAATTCCAACTGAATTCCCCAACCCTTTTCTCAGAACCCTAATTCGTAGACTGCGATAACCCGGGCCCTAAACCTCTACAGTCGAACCCTGAACCCCAAAATTTTGAACCCGGAACCTGCAGCCTATACAGGACCCAGGCAAGGTGCAGGAGCTTTCCCTCGACAGCGTGCAGCTGGAAGAGCAGCGCCAGAAAAAGCGCTGACGCCATGGCAGTATCGGGAGTTTCCGAAAAGTAGGGGTACCTTATTCTGGGGTCTTTATAGTAAGGATCCTACTATTTAGGGTACTATATTAGGGTCCCTTATTTTGGGAAACCCCCATATCGGGATGCTTATTTTTGATCGAGTAGGGCAACTCCCCCTTATTGCTACTGTTTGGTACACTGGAGGTGTGGTCTGCATGTGCCGGGAGTAATAGGAGATAATGAGATACTGAGGGCCTAGACACTTGTAGGGTCGAAGGGTTCATTGATGTTACTGTTAAGGGCTTCACCGGACCTCAACGGTCTGCAGGAGGTGCATCAAACACTCCGGTACGGGTTTTGTCTTCCCTACCATGCAGATCAGAACCTGCCTGCCTGAACTTGGGACGCAATGTAAGGCTTAAGGGGCTTCAGGCCAGCGTACCTGAACTGGTCTGCTGCACATCTGACACCAAAACAGTTTTTGCAAACCGCACGGAGCTTCGGCAACGGAGACAAACTTTCAGAAAGGCGAACCGAAGGTCCTCAAGCCGTATGGGTCGTGCACGTGACAACTTTGCAGACGAGAGCCTCGAGGCCAAACAGAAGTTCCACCTCTAAGCTTTCTGAAATCTTTGGGTCAAGTACCAACACTACTTGCAAGCCCCCCCAACCATATTCACCCTACGACCTTCATTGCCAAGAATCATGAAGTAGAAGAAGGTTGCGAACCTGCTCAGCCAGCGGAAGAAAAGTGTCTGGAGTGTGTGAAAGGGTTTAGGGCATCGCAGGTAAGCCGTTCCCAAGTCAAAGCAGGAGACGACACCACTCGCAATTGTACCAGTGCCCTTGGGCTTGAGATTGTTTCACTTGCCATGTGAACAGCATCATCGCAGCAGGAGCACCACAAACCACTGCAAGGGTTTACTCTCTTATCATGTATTTGCTCGTGTAGTACAGAAGAGTATGCTTCTAGCAGCTGGGGCAGTTCGTCCACAACCCTTTGAAAGGGGTACCCACTTTTCTTGCTGTTTCGTCTTCATAGGGAACACGAAAAACCAAGGAAGAACGGAATTACTGGGCAACCTGGCATAGTGTACCAGGTGGCAAAGGCTGAGGAACTGGCGCAAGCGCATGGAGTTGCATTCGGAAGTAAGCAAACCAATCGGACTCAACATCTATGAACCCTACAGCCTTGAAGCTGCAAGTCCCAAAAGCAACAAGACCCAACCAAGGATAACAGCGTAGGCCATGAGCTGTAAGTTGCTGCCACAGCGCCGATGCTTGACCAAGGGCCTGTAGACGGCGCCTGACCCGTTGTAAGTATGTCAGGTCAAACCGGTTTACAAACACGAAACCCCTAAACCGTGAACCCCGAAAAACCTACACCCAGCTCAGAGCTCTTCTGACATGAAACTCATGAAACTACAGTGGCAGGAAGCTCTCCACCCTAAGGAAGGAAGTATTGCCAGCTCTTCATGCCTCTATAACTCTACCTTGAACCCGTAGACCCTAAACCCTATAGCCTCTAGACCCATAGCCCTGCATTTCTTGTAATTTTGACTGGGCTGCTTACGTTCTACGTGGCTTATTCCAAGAGGGACTCCAGGGATCCCTTTTGACGCCCAGTGCGGCCCACGCTGTGTACATGACTGCTTTCAGAAGATGACGTAGTTGTGTAGGGCTTAATGCAGGGTTCTGAGTTGATTGGAACCGGTTTGTTTGGGGGGCATATTCTGGAATAGTTCTGATATCGGTGCTGTAGGGGGCTGTTTCCTGCTACTTGTCCAGACCCTTCTGCTAGGATCAATTCCCAGTTTCCTGCATGATCTCTTTCATGTACAGCCCTGATGTCCCAGTTCTCGGTTATGGAACCCCTGAAATCTCAAACGCGAGCATCTGATATACCGCAGAGTAGCAATCAGAAAGCCCCTCACCCCAAATGAAAGTCGAGAGGCCAATGCTATCCATACTGAACATCTGCAGAAGGGTCATGATGGCGTCCTGGATTTTGTTAGAGTTGCTCTGCTTGAAACATGGTGTTCAGGGCTTGACACGGATTTCCCGACAAAGTCAACGCAGTTTGTGGCTGCACAACCATCGTGCGGTGGGTGGGGATGAACAGCTGCTTCTGAAGTGTGTGCGCGTGCGCGTATACCTATCTCTCTCTCTCTCTCAATCTCTATGCGTGCATGCATGCGTGTAAGTACACACGTACCTACGCACGAGAGGGGTCCTGTGTTAGACATCTTCCTGTGGACTGTGAAGGCCGTTCTTTTACCTACTACGGAGTCCTAAATCGATTCAAAACTGCTTGAACTTTCAAGTCTGAGACGGCATATGGACTGAAACTGTGAAATACCGTGGTCATGAGATCCTTATGGAGCAACAATCAGGTGACGACCCCAAGTGAGGCACTCATAACCGTCATAACCCCACTAAACAAAGCAAACAATCAGCACACTCCTGCAACGAATTCCTCAAAGTACTTGAAACGAAGAACCCCCTCAAGCATGACCCCCAACCTGTTTTGGCCCTAGATCGCTACATACATAGAAAAACACCCCTTCACTTTGAACGTTGCAAGCGAGGCTCCCCAAAGTTGCTGAAGTTCTCCCTGGCAGCGACATTGTACCTCTGCGGCGACTTCTGGACGAGTCAAGCCCTCACGTACATCACAGTTTTCTTGGGGTCTGCGATGGTCCGTGATTCTTTATAGTCGCTTGGCATCCGCAAGGAGTGTCGCTAAATCATACAGTAATGCCCTAAACCCTACCCGCCCCCCCCCGCCCTCAAGAGTGCTCTACGTCAAGAGCGTAGAGTCTACGATCTCGAATCCCTGGAAACCGGCCCCTCAAGGGCATGGCTCTTTCTGCCCAAGTGGCTCGTGGTTGGCGTCAAGAGCCGGGTCCTCTGAAATAAACCTGGCAGGCTTGGCGTTGATCCTAAACCCCGAACGCCGGATAGGGTGCACAGCTTGTGCTTTAGTGCGCTATAGGTGCAAAGCACGATGTTTCCAGCGAGCTGCTCCATGCCGATGATGGCGAAGATGTAGATTAAGATCCTTGGTAGTTCTGCATTTGCAGATGCCGAGACTTCCTTGCTCAAAAAACCCAACCGATTTGCCGATGAGCGCAGTCGTGCATTCCTAATGTAGTACTTAGTGCCCTAAAGTTAACTATGGGAATTACTGGCTCATGCCGTTTGCTATAGCCCTAAAATACCCTAAACAATGGAGCTGCGGCTCTTGGGGTTTCAACACTCTGTATCAGCGGACCGCAAAGAAGAATAAGATTTCCCACTCTCGCGAATATCGACCCTAAACCCTATACCCTTATGCCTTCAAACCGACTGATATAGGGACGTCAATGCTTCGAATCGGATTTGGGTATATATATATATATAGATATATAGATATTCCATATACATATATATTTACATACATACCTACAACATACACGATATGATTATGAGGTGGACTGCAAGGGGATGCGATCGTGAAAATACTCGACCTGTAACTATACTAGACCCAAGGCAGCTTGAGGAGCTTGGCGCCTCTCTGCAGTTGACGACGTGCTGCCACTTCATAGAGCTGCGGGTCTATAGGGTTCTAGTTGCTAGGGCTTCGGGAGTGGGGCAGGTTCGGTCTCTACATTCGCATAAGCAAAATCTCTTTTCATATGATCGGGAGGCTCCTAGGCTTTGCAAGACATGACTGTCCTTAGAACTACAGGGCCTTAAGGGTTAGTGCTCCTTTCGGGATGAGCAACACGGATCAAAACTCTCGAAGCAGCCGAGCTTCATGACCAATAGGAAGGTCCAAAAAAGTGTTGTCACCTGATGCCCACGGACACAAACCACTTCCAGACAGCGAAACACGAATTCTTGAGGGCATTGATTGAAGCATTCTGGCTGAGTTCATCCGGACACGCCCAAGGGTTCAAAGGATTCGTCGTTCCAGGCTTGTAAGTGGGCTGCTTTGGGCCCAGAAAACCGCATCTTCTTCTGAGTACCCGCTTCCGACTCCTAGCCCCAAAACCTCGTCGCACAATCGCACACTATGTGATTTGACGTCCCAAGGTGTCAAGCGTCAGATGCAATGGAGAACGTCGGCCGGATGCCGCAACGGCCATATAGCAGCCAGGTGACACTGTGGAGAAGCCCTTGCACCAGCTGCCAGAGCGTCTGAAAGAGGACAATGAGGCCTTGGCCCAGAAGGCTTGCAAATCCGAGCTTATATTTTGAACCCATTCTGCATCCTATAACCTGTTACATCTTAAGAGATCCTGAAAGCCTTCCGGCCCAGCTTCGAACTGCACGGGCCAGGCGGAGCAAACGCAGTATCCGCACGAGCATGACCTGCCCGGAAAGCCGCATTCAACGCTTTCGGGTGCAGGATTGAAGAGGGGTTTAGGACTGTGGTCTACGGCCGTCTAGAGGCTTCAGTAACAGGGGCTTCGGGGCTTAGGGTTTACGAGGGCTTAGGGTGGGGACCAGCATCCCAAATGCCCATGCGCCTGGTTGAGGAGCTCATTTTGCACCTGCCAGGAGAAGCTGGGCTTGCTTTACTGATACTCTCCGATAGCGGGTTCCCCGTGTTGACTGACACGAACATAACAAGGCATCCTGGCGGCTGAATGTTCGGGATGTGTCGGAGAAAGTTGCAACTTAAAGCGTTTGCGACGAACAACAAAGCTGCGGGGCTACTATTGGGGACCACCCCCATGCAGAAATACCGAAACAGTCGTTCACGATCTTCCAGCCCTTTGTTATGAGCACCCGTTGTTTCGATGCTCTCTGACCCTGGTAACTGGGCTGCCGATAAAATATTGAGGAACTCTTTAAGTCACCAGTCTCTCTGATGCAGAGCTACTATTGTTAGGTGTTTTTAAAAGCCCGGTAC